TTAATTTAATAACAAAGGGGGAAAAGTTTTTTCACTATTAAAACAAATAGAAAATAAAATTGATTGATTTTATTACCTCTACATATAAGTTTTATTTAATGCTGTCACTGAAAGTGTCTAAATGTATTCAGATTTTGTGTCATGCCATCGACAAAGGCATCACTTTGTACTCGTATAGTATAGAAATATTGATGAGGTGGTGCATTAACGGTTTTTCGCTCTAGAAAGAAAAAAGGTTTCATCAAATTCTACGATCTTCTAGTAATATGTTCTCCATTTATTTTGTTAAATCTTACTTCAGTCAAGATATTAGTCCTTCTATGGTGATTCGTAATCCCAAATCTTGTGATGACTTGAATAAAAATTATAAATGTTACTTTTTTTATTTTATTCGTTAAATGATAGAATTACAATATGTAAATCGGTTAAGCTAACTAGAAAGTGTTTTACATAGTAAAGCATTACTTGTCTTTACTTTTTTATATGTATTCGTGGACATAATTATAACGTACTCAAAATAAGGTATATCAAAGTATCAAAGTCTATAAGATAATAGAAGTTAATGGATTAAAATCTTGGGTTATTCAGCTCTAAAAAGCATATTAACTTTCTGTCTTGCTTTAAATATTTTTTACTGAATGATGATTGAAGGTGATTCGAAAATCTGAGCCATAGCAGGATTGAAAACTAACAAGTAGCGGGTTTCCGACCCAGTGCTCTACCAATTGAGCTGAGAGACTCGGCTGCTGACCAGATTTTTGTCACGTTGTTCTAACTTTTTAATAATACAAATAAGCAACTACTAACATATCTCTGCATTAGACTCTAAATTAATGCCTGTTCTTTTAGGACTACCAATACCTGTTTGTTTTGTTGAATCCCAAAGGGATGAAGTGGACCTTAGATCTGTAACCCACCAATTAAAGTAAACTTCCCAAACCCAGAGCTCTATATTATTACCTTTGTTGTAGTTACTGGTTCTTCTTAATGTGTACCATGTTTTGCGCTAGTCAAAGTCACTTTGTTGCTTCTTGATTGCTTTACGTATCACTTTTAACCATTTTAATAGATTTTGTTAACAACTAAATTACTGCACAGAAACGTGGATATTTGGTAGATAAGTAATCGGAAAGGCGTACCCTTTTACACTATACACAGTTACTTTCCTACTTATTATCTAGATGAATCTATCAATGTCATGGTCACATTTCTTGCACAAGTTGAAATGCAGCTATTTCACCTACTTTGTTTCAATACACCAGTTAGTTATCGTATAGTTTTCAGGCAATTAGTGCAGGTGAGGTTAACAGAACAACTACCAAAATGGATGCAACAACAAATAAATTCGAATGATCCCACTGACCCAGCTCATAGATAATCAACTTCGTCTATGGCTAAATATATCATTGAAATGAATCAGAAGGTTGATTTGTATACATCTTTCAAGCCTATTTACGAAAGCAATCGGGAACGCATTTATAGGTTTGTTGAAGCTCTAGCCACTAGGATGTCTAGACTTCTTTTGTGTTTTCGAAAGCAATCTTTTTTGATACTAAACTTACCTCGATAAATCAGCTTTGCTATCAAGGGTGATTATTATGATATATTATCTTTCTTCTCTTACGTATGATTTTGGCTCTGAACTAACAATTCGACCCTTGATTATATCGATTATTCTTTGAACCCATTTATCCTTTGTTGCATTTCATATAAATATGCATAACAAGTAATTGTGTAGCCATATTGCTAAAAATGAATTATGCTGATAAATTATACGTTTTAGGTAAATTATGCATTCTTATTGTTTTGTCAAAGTGTATGTATTTCATGAATAAACGATATTCATCATAATTCATGTTTATAAATGAATTGAATGAAGTCCAAAGGAATACCCTAACCCCCTACTCTGATACGTTGAACTGATTGTTTCGAGAGCAAATGAATGTAGTAAGTATAAAATGAGATTCTACATATGCACTGTCTTGTCGCAAAGTACTGTACACAATTATATTCAATATCATAATTTTTCATATTATTAATGCAATTATTAAGTCACTTGGTGAATAATATGTTTATGAATTTGGTAAATGCCTCTGCTGTACTACCACCGTCTAAATGTATATCAGAATTTTAATGGTGCTACAGTAAGTTAGACTTTTACCATTACAAAGCGAAACTGTGACTCTCCAAAGAAACAGCTGATTGCAAATTCGTGTACAGCTTACATTGCATATATATGACCCATGATACATCACTTTTAGTTTCTTCCGAGCATGATTTTCTCACTTTTTCTCGATCTTTCTCGTTTCTTACTTTTTTGAAAAGTAATAACATTAGTGCAACTTTCTTATTTCCCTTTGCTAGTTGTGGCTGATAAAAGTATTAAATTTCAGATATAGGTCCAAACAGTAAGTGGATAAATACTATCACTGTCAATAATTCCTCTTAGTTGAGTTTCTCAACTATCCTACTAGGATATCAATAATTTTCCACTGGAAAATTTTCGATTCATAAAATGCCCATCAGTTGGAGTCAGTCATCCAGCTTCCTGTGATGTTCATATTTCTGGTTCAAAAATACCACTTTTGAATGACAGCAGTTTTAAACAAATGAATTGATGCCAATGAAGTGTCTAAATCATTCGTATGTAGCTAACGTAACGTGAACATCAGTTTAGATGGTTCATAACTAATCATCTCATTGAGCAACATATTTATTTTGTGATATCATTGTTTCAATTACAACTATCTATATTTCTTTCTGAGAGTTTTCTAACGGTTAGGTGGTTGAAAAACGACCCACCGTTGTCTTGTCAACAATCCACTCTATTTTCGTTTTCTTTGCTTGATACTGTAGCTGCGTTGACAATGTTTGTCACTTTGGTAATGCATAGATACAGCTTACTTGAGTTTTATATTATTTTCAAGCCTATTTTGTTAGTGCTCATCACTAGTTTATTACATTGCCAGTAAAGTACAGTGAAATGAATATTGTTTAATGGATTTTTTTTAGAACTATCAATTTCTACTGTCACTAAGCTTGTTATGATCACCGTCAGTTTTGTCATATAATACATTTTTGCAAAATGATTGATTTTTGTGCTTTAATTTAGTGAACAATCAGATAAACATGAATACATGTAAATAACAAGTGAATTTTCTTATTGGTTAGACATTAATGGAGCATATTGTGATGTTGATAAGGTTGTAAATTTGTTATGAACAGGATAATATAGTGTATATTATCTATCCATTATTTCTTCGATCTATTTGCAAAGTTTACTGAATTAGAAATAACACAAAAGTCTCAATGAAGTTCAGCTGAAACATATTGTCCAACTGTGAAGATAATAACTACTATTTTCTGTTGAGTTTTTATTTTCATAAATAAACTGAATATTGAAAGTATTTGAGATGGAAAGAGTTTATCAGAAGACCTTTACATTTTACGATTTTTAATCAGTTGCTTTAAAATAAATGCACTGACTTTTATGAGATAGAAAATTCAAGTATCTTCACATTTTCCTTGTTACCCGACAATCATTTTTTTGTGTTTACAGTTTGCGTTTTATTCTTTTGATGAGTAACGCTTCAGACTATGGCAGTAACCGCTGAAATGGTCAATTATTTGCTTTTCTTTTCCTCGGATAGTTTTTTGTGTAGGTTCTTTAAACCAATTAGGTGTAGAGGCTTAAGAAGCTTTGATCAAAGTAGAATGAATTCGAAAACAGGAACTATTGAATAACCAATTCGATGTCTTTATTTTAGTTGAAACAGTAGTGTTTTTTTTTCATAAAAATACTGAAATCTAGTTTTATGCACTTGGTTCTGTTGATAACTTTAGACACTGAAATAGATGATATACTAAAATAATTTGGTGATTTTTCGCTAATTCAGTCTGTTTTTCATGTACTGAGTTTTCTGTATAATCCAGTCCAGGTATTTTTCTTTAATTCAACTTTACAATGAATTAAAGTTAGGATGTTCTTCTAAGTTATTAACACAAGAGTAATTTCCATTGGATTGGACAATATGAAACGCTTGTTCATCAGTCTGTTAACTGAAGATTCACAAGCTTGTTCTTTTTATTATTCTATATAATACTGAATGTGTTATCCCTGTTTACATCGTCAAAATATTTTCCTAAGAATGACTATTGTCATCATATTCGATTCTATATATTTACAAGATTAAGTCTAAAGATCATAGAACAAACAAGATAATTTTTCTTGCATACACCAGTCAAGAAGAAAGTACTCATAGTGTCTCCTATTTGTACAGAGTTATCTCTGCAAATACTCATCAAAAATCTATCAACTTCAGCTTATTGTGAAATTTTTACTAAAAACGATACCTAAACTCACATCAAGAATCCTTTCTACATGAACCTTTGAGCTCGAATAACAAAACAGTTGTCAAAATATTAAAAAACGAAGCAGTGAATATATTTTTTCACATTGTATCATATTTTTCCTGTCTCATCATGAGTTGATTGACGTTAAAAATGTTAGTGATAGCAACAGGGTCTACATGTGATGGAGACAAGCATAAGTTAGTTGTATTTATTCCTTTATCTTATATTGCACAGCAAATGCATAAATCTCAATTCTTCTCATGTTTTATACACAGTACACTTTAATTTAACTGCTCATTTTATGTTTATATATGGTGTTAGAAGTTAAAAGGTAATCATTATCGCAGAACAGTTACAGTCAGTAACTCCTGGCTTAATGATTTCACGTTCTGTTGTGATTGAACTATCCTAAGCTGCTTAACAAATCTCATTTATGTTTCAGTCTCTATATATTCACATAAATTTCTGTATGAATCAAAAGTATGCAATTGTTTTTACCCTTCGGTAGTTGCTTTAGTATTTTATCCAATCTCTTCATCACAAAATATGATTTTCTGTTGGTGTTAATAGTATTACCATACTCTATACATATGTTGATGGACTACATATTCGTCTTCTTTCCTCTCTATTCTCATACATTTTTCTAGTGCTAAATCGTGAGTCAGCCACAACAATGACAACGACAACAAGTATTTCTACTCATCATAATAATATTTCTCGATTTGGTGCTGCTACGATGCCTACCTCTACTACACCTGTCATCAGTGGTCGTAAGTATTTTTGTTTCTCGTATGTTTACTAGATCGAATTGTTTTAGTCACAGTATACTTTCTAGCCAAAAATGGATAAAATTTAGTCATCATTATCTTTAATAATGTTGTCAGGTGATTGAGTTCTTTCACTGAAGAATTTTGTTGTTTCAATCATGAGGACTCCAATAAGCACCTTGCATGATATCAAAGAAGTATAATAACTGTATAAAGATTTTATTGTAGTGAGTTAATTAACCTTGTATATTGTTGTATTGTAATGTGTTATACAATTCCAGGCTGTAAAATATTTGCTTATTCTTTGAATATTATAGATACTTAGTAAGGTAGAAAGCATAAATGGAAACGCTCACTATGCAAAGTAAGTCCACCACCTGATGGCTTGGGAATGTTTTCGCCCGTAAGTGTCTTGGAAGTGCTTATCGCATCTGTTGAAAGCAGTGAATAATAAATGATGAGCTTAGGTATCCAATTTATTTTACAACATATATTCATCAACTGATGAGGTTACTGGAATATGTTGAACATACTAGACTAGTTATGTTGATCAAATTGAAACCACCTTGGAAATAATCATAGGTTGGCTTAGAGCAGTACATGTTAGCAATCCACCAAGTAATAGACGTTTTCAGATGTCCAGAGAAATTCACCCTACCGAAATCAGCCACAATGGTCCAGATATGTTCTCTCCTTTTTTTCTTTTTCTCTCTCTCTCTCTCTCTCTCTCTCTCTCTCTGCATCTCTAAGCTCTTTTATTACTGTTAATTACATGATTTTGATTAGTTTATTTCTTTTCTTAATGATCTCTCATTATCATGCTGATATCATGTATTGCCACTTGAACTGAAACACAATAATATGATATCCGAATATGTCGGTGCTTGTTTATTAGCTTATTAGACCTTCTAACATCTGCCATAATCTTATTGAAAGTGTTGACTATTTATGCTTCATTAGTCATTGAAAAGCATCAACTTGACCCAAACGTTTTCTGTGGTATTTATTTTTTTTACTTCAGACTTAATCTTTCAACTTCTTTGTTATGGTGAATTCAACTGAATTTAACTGTTCCATACATGTAGAAAAGTGTTAGTTGGCACGTCTTTTATATTTTCCATCACTTTCTAATATCTATCTTGTGTTACTCAGAGAGGTAACAACTTGAATCTATTGACTAAATATATAAAATTGTATGTTACTTGATTCACTTTCTCGAAATAAACCAAATTAGCTTAACGTAGACGTTGGATTTAAGGAATCAGTTCACCCAAGATAAATTAACCCTGAGAGAATCATTCACTACAGTTCCCAATAAAGTTATCCACGGATCAACTTCGTTTTATCATATCAAACGATCAGGATATCTGATCTTTCATTTTCAGTCAACTACAAACTGAAATAACCAACACTAGGTGTTAGACCATGAATTGTTTTTTCGTTAGTGTATCTTTACAAACATATCAAGTAAGACTGACTAGAAACCTGTTGTGACTCAGTACCGCATTATGTGAGTTGATTCAGTGTTGAAGGTCAATTCTTCTATTCAACTTTTATTTATCCGAACACAGATAGGTACTGTACAAATTACTAAGTAAATATTGTTAATGAATGAGATTAACCAGACAGGAAAATAATGGATCGCTTCTAATTGAGCTTATAATAATACCTGTTTCAGCTTCAGTTACAATTTATTCCAAGGACATATTACTACAATATTAAACAAAATTCTATCATTTCCTAGTTTGGAAGGTATTCATTTCATTTCATTGACGAGTGAGTGAGTGAGTGAGTGAGTGAGTGAGTGAGTGAGTGAGTGAGTGAGTGAGTGAGTGAGTGAGTGAGTGAGTGAGTGAGTGAGTGAGTGAGTGAGTGAGTGAGTGAGTGAGTGAGTGAGTGAGTGAGTGAGTGAGTGAGTGAGTGAGTGAGTGAGTGAGTGAGTGAGTGAGTGAGTGAGTGAGTGAGTGAGTGAGTGAGTGAGTGAGTGAGTGAGTGAGTGAGTGAGTGAGTGAGTGAGTGAGTGAAATCCTAGTTTTCATTAAAATCTTAGAGAATACAAGTTTAGATTAGACAATTTATACTGGATCTTAGTATTCGGCATAAAAAAGCAGTAAAGGTCAATGCATAGAAAACTAACTGGGTCACTCACTCTGTTCGAATTACTTTAGTAAAGGGATTGTAGATCACATCAGTTGACTGGAAATGAAGGTAATGAACGAGTCGAACATTCACATATACACTTAACAAAAAGATGTTTAAAAAAGTAAAGCTGATGTCGGCTTATCGTAATGTAACAAAAAGAAAGGAAAACCAACCATTTCTAATGAGTCATCACTGTGAAATTTATGATAGGAAATTGAAAAAATACAATATTTAGGACTGTCAGAATTCGTCTACTAAAGCTTTCGGTTCAATGATTCACACTTTGTTGTTTGTCTAAGGCTTTAGTTTGTAGACCGTTTTCAAAAGTTGTCAAATGCCAGTTAAAGCTCTAAATTTACTGTTATTTGTTAGTTTGCTATATTTCATTTGATTGCAAATAATAGCGTGATGATGGCGGGAGAAAAACAATGATTTTTTAAGAAAAAAATGCACCTAGTCTCCCAGTTAGAATAAAGGTAATGAAACGAATGCAAAAATATTGTATCACTTGTACTCAAGTACATACAATCTCTAGATTTAATGAAACGAAGTCAAAATAAATCCAATAGCCTATTTCAGTATATATTGAACATTATTCAATTATAGATAGTACATGATTACATTAAATGTAACAAACAGATAATCGATAACATGATATAAGAGAAAATGATTATACCTAATCAATAAAATAAACTATTTAGTATGCTTTATTGATTGCTTCGGATTATTGAATATATGACTAATGTGATGACTACTAAATGGTTTAATGGACAGTACATATTTTTGTTTGAGTGCAGAGTTACTGAACAGTGTTATGTAAAAGCATTCATTGGGTTTAAATATCCCTGTAAACTGTTCCAATCAAAAAAAACAGTGTAATATCATCATCGAATACATTGAAGGAAGCCTATAGATAGTCCTAATGATTGATTTATTAATAGATATCCAAAGTCATGTGAAAAGTACTGTAATTGTTGGTGATTAGTAATGATATGTCTCTACAACCTGAATGAAAGTTGTTCTTTTCTTTGTCTAAACTTGCATCATTTAGTGTTGGAGAGTAAGACGTTAACTTTAAGTTATTTAGGCCATGACTAAGTATATTTCAAACAGAGTGAGTACATTACAGAGGTGTATCACTGTTATATTGTTCTTGTTTGATAGATTTCCACTTGCTCTTAGAACATGACACTTAGCTAGATTCGTTAGCACCCACTGTCCCGTTCATGTACTTATCTTGAAATTATAATTATTTTTCCAACGATTTTGTCAAGTTCGGGGTGTCAAAACCTAGAAGGGCTAGGTACAGGGGAATATAACTATCACGGTTTGTTAATCATTCAATATTTACTGGTATACATAGATCAATATATTCTACTTTGTTGCGATCGACTTCTAAGAAACCGGCGGTAAACTATATATATATATATATATATATATATATATATATATATATATATATATATATATATATATATATATATATTATGTCTTCACCATTAACTTTATTATGGATATGATTGTATAAAAGCTTCACGACTAAACTTTCTAGCTCAGAGAACGCAACACAATCAAGACTTCATACACTTAGCTTTCTTAACAAATTTGGAAAAAGCAAGGTCGTAATTTGCAGAATGAAATGATGTCATCATACTTCATTAGTACTCTCCAGATACATACAGTGTAAAAGTACAATAGTTGATAGGACATAAGGTAATTTAAAATCAGCAATCTCAAGTTGTACGCTTTGAAATGTTCTCTGCCATCTAAGAAGGTGATTCAGTCGATGAGGTTGTGAACTTTCGCTGACTAGGGCGATGTGCACATATTTTTATACATGCTGAGTTATCACTTCCCTTGAAACATGAAGTCAGTTCAACTAGGCCATTGCCTGAATAAAGTTAAGTGTGACTAGACTAATATTTGGCTTCTAACTTTTGCTTTAAGTCATGAAGGTGAGTGTAAGCTACATGGTTAACGTCAATAAGATGTTGGAAATAAAGGGTCAAAGACTTCTGTTTACAGCTCACAACCTATCATAATAGTGCAGATGTATTTCTCCTTCACCATCTTCAAAGTATCTTTAGTTTTTCTGAACGGTTGTTCATTCCTCCTCCTCTGAAACTCTGCATTTTACTTATTGTCACTTTTCCTTGTTAACTCTTTGTTTGGACATTTTCGCTTGACCTCTAACCTTTCTGATTAATGCCATAAAGGTCAGAGGTCAGGTAGAGGGACAGCCAACAGGAAAATCTGTGCAGTCAATGACACAACAATCAAAAGAAACAGCCAGTTCGTCAGGGCAAGCTACTAAATCACTCATGGAGAGATCGTGACAGCTCACTTCATACTGAAGTTAGTGTTGATGATGTCATCTAGAAAGACGATGAAAGCTCCACGATTAGACAACCCAGCTCAGAGAACACAATACAACCAAGATATTCACCTGTTATTCTCATGTACTTGTCGTATTATTTGTTGTTTCCACTAAGACTTGTATTCCTTTCTTGAGGTAAAAGAGCGTTATCCATCAGACTAGTTACCCACGATATTCATCACTCTTATCCAGCTGATGCTAGTTAACAGTCTAGTTTGTTGTCTTTCCTTTTGTCGACTAACTTCACTTAAATTTAGCTGATTCACTGTGGCACAATAACTTGGTGGTGGCTTTCAATACGATTCTAAACTCACACTTTACCCCACAATTATAATGTAGATTGATCCGGTTCATGTTGATATACTAGGCTATGAGCCACATTTATTGTGTGAGAACCTACAGTACTACCGGTTGCCCAGATCGAAGTAGTTACAGATGATCTTGAACCCGGAAGACTGCTTGACAGAAGACGTACTGAAACAGATTTCGACTTCCTCCTTCTTCATATATATATATATATATATATATATATATATATATATATATATATATATATATATATATATATATTATATACCTGAATCATCAATAAAACTTTGAGGAACGTGAGATTCGACAGAAAGTTTTAGTATTAGCATTGAGATGAGGAAACCGAAATAACTAGTGATTTTTAGAGTGAAAGCATATACGAGGAATATATTGCACATTGAGTGAGAATGACTTGTTTCTAGCAATTTTTCTGTGTTATTGATTTTGCCTCGGTATTAGAGCTAAAAACGAATTTTAAAAGATATTTATATTTCCGCTGGGAATGTCATTCACCTCTTCATAAAGAAATATTTCTTCATTTATCTTGTAAAAGTTTTAAATTATATCATTTTCTCTAGGAAATCATGCTAAGTTTTCTGCATTTTTAGCACCGTATCATTCTACTGTCCAGTTATAAGTGAATTTTGACTAGTTAGTACTGTCTATAAGCTGTTTGATGAACTCAAAGGGTATTGATTCAACTGTGGTGTAACAATGAGTATTGTCTTAAGGGTTCAATGAAAAAAACTTTATTTTCTTCTCAAGTCAGACCTCGTGTCATTACTGATATATAGTGACTAATAATGGAATCCAAGGCGCGTGTTTCATCTTACTTGGAACTTGTCTGCTGGATATGCCTGCCTCCAAGTCAGTGTTGTTCCCATTAAAACTCAAACCCAGGACCAGTCGTT